CCTCCATATTTCTCAGAAAAGTACTGGGCAAAATTTTCAATCCCCAAAATACCAACATCACAAGATTCAACCCCCAAAAATTCTTTTGGAGTATAGGAAATTGCAAAGACATCATGAAAAACAAATGTGTCTGACAATAATAATTATACTAATATTAATGAAATAAACCCAGGAGTATAGGTTTGAATTTTTGTTGTTGTAGTTGCAATGTTGTAAAACATGCAAACCTTGAGAGTTCTGGCTACAGTAAGCAATTCAAGACTGAAATGCCATGCGAAAATAATGACCCTGACCTCAGAGACGAGGATTAATCGGTATACATGTACGTCATGTAACAAGCAATTTACTTAGGGATGGACCATTCAATTTTTGATCGGGGGGTTGGTCAATTATGAAAAACAATTCTTACACAAGAAAAGTAGAGAAAAAAATATCATGCACAACAAGCCCAAGAAAGAAAAAAATCAAGCTAAAAGTGAGGAAAAAATGCACAAATGCAAGACAGAAAAAAATTCAAGCTGCGAAAATTGCCAAACCCCCCCCCTACCCCCCCTCCCCCCCCTCTTCACTCAAAAATTAAATGGTCTGTCTCTTATAAGGTATTTTTCAATTATTTATATCCTTTCAAACAAGAACGATATTGTTTCAACTGGACAAAACCAGTTTGGTTGATAAGATGTTTATTACTTCAACTGAAACATCTGGATCATCTTTCCCATCAGATTGTGCAATTTAGTTCATTTAGACTGGATGCAGAGCAGAAAAAATAATACATCATAGCCCTTACACAGAAATGGAAGAGAACACTTTCATTTGAAAAGATGTAGTGTCATTGGCTCTCGCACTTTGAGCTGAATCATCTGACAAGATGGAATTAAAAGTTCNCAAACCCCCCCCCTACCCCCCCTCCCCCCCCTCTTCACTCAAAAATTAAATGGTCTGTCTCTTATAAGGTGTTTTTCAATTATTTATGTACTTTCAAACAAGAACGATATTGTTTCAACTGGACAAAACCAGTTTGGTTGATATGATGTTTATTACTTCCAACTGAAAACATCTGGATCATCTTTCCTATCAGATTGTGCAATTTAGTTCATTTAGACTGGATGCAGAGCAGAAAAAATAATAATACATCATAGCCCTTACACAGAAATGGAAGAGAACACTTTCATTTGAAAAGATGTAGTGTCATTTGCTCTCGCACTTTGAGCTGAATCATCTGACAAGATGGAATTAAAAGTTCTGTTAAAATCACCAAAGTATGTAGCCTGTTAATGCAGACAGATTTCTACATGCTGTTTCAGTTTTTTAGAGGCACGAAACAACAGGCAGAAATCAATCTGTGTTTGCAAGCTATCACCTATGTTGCAATGAATTTTCATTGGGACCACACATACAAGTTACAACAGTCTAGAGCTTTTTACTGTGTAAGATACTCCATGATTTCTGTACGCTTCTGAACTGCTGGGGTGTTAGGAGTAAGAATACTCTCGTACCCATTCACCTCATCATCTTGGTCATCCATGAAGTCCAAAACGTTATCGTCATTGCACAAGCTGATGTTATAAAGGACACATGCAACAATGACTATTTAAGGAATATCATCGACTTTGTCTATATCAACATACTTTAATCTTCGAAAACGACCCTTTAGCAGGGCAAATGCTCGCTCAATCACCATTTTGGTTGAGGAATGGAGATAATTGTAGGTTTTTTGCCGTTCTGTCAAATGCCCATTGGCCTTGTATAGGGTCATGATCCATGTTTTGAGGGGGTACGCTGCATCACCCAACAAGTGTGAATTCTTGGGAAAGAAGTCGTCATGCCAATTTGTGGCAGAATCAAAAATGTCTGAATTTCGTAACACTCTAGAGTCATGAACACTTCCAGGCCTGCCACAGTAACAGTTGGTGAAGAACATTTCATGATCACAGCAAGCTTGTAATACGATGGAATGGAAATCGTTTCTGTTGATGTAGTTCTCTGGGCACTCTTCTGCGTTCTTCAAACCCTTCCATTACCTCGACAGTTCTACTGCTACTTGGCCACTTTATGAGATGTTCCGCTAAATTATTCTTTATGGCATCACATACACGTCGGCAAGATACATACACTGAACTTTTCGTAACATTGAATCTGTCTGAAATTGATCTGACGCATTCTTGTGTCCCTAAGAACCACAAGAAAATAAGCAACTGCTTGTCTATCGAAATTGGTGGCCTTCCTCCATGAGAGTGTCCCAGTGGAATTTCCGGACAATTAGCTAACTCGCACACCAGTTCTTCAAATGTTTCTGCAGTAGGCCTAAAGTGCTCACGAAAAGTAGACAGAGAATAATTTGGAACAACTTCCTCGGCATAACCTTGAATACGAACAGCCCTCTCACGGCTCTTTAACTTATCGTCTAAAAGGAAGAATGGTAAAAATTCCTCTACCATGCCGCCAACTCCTCCGTGTAAACAGACAACAAAATGGCACGTATTCCGGCCATGGACGCCATCTTGAAAAATCTCGTCACTTCTCTGAGCCTGCGGCTTTCGTTGCTAAAGTTGCTAAGCGACAAAAAAATCCGCTGACTTTTTCGTGTAACAGACAGCAAGCGCATCAGAATATCCAGAATATCAGGAATAATCGTTTCGTTTAGCAAACGAAAAACTTACCTATTCCGGAATATCCCAAACGAACGCGCCCTTAGTTTCAAAATACATTTTCTCACAAATTGTAAAGTTATTCAAAAACATACTCATGAAGGTTATTTGTGCAGGAATGCCAAAAACTGGTACAAAATCAATCAGCAAAGCTCTGCGCCATCTTGGATTTACGGTGTTTGATTGGGAAGAGCAAATCTTGGACTTTCTGGATCACTGGGTTGCTGTTTTCCAAAACGGCGTCAATCCAGATGTAAAACGAGTTTACCAGAATGCTGATGCCGTCCTAGGTCATCCGGGAAGCTTTTTCTACGAAGAAATACTGGAAGCTTTTCCTGACTGTAAGGTGATTTTAAGTGTAAGAGATGAAGATTCGTGGTTGAAGAGCGCTGTGAATCAAATAGAAACCACACTTGCTCTGAGACCCCAAAATTTCATGGCCATGTTATCGCTAACAGCAAGAGATATAAATTATATCTTGGACTGCTACATTGATGCCTCCTTCGGCTCTCGTAATTCCAAATCCACCTGTGTTTTCAGAAAACGGTATCGTATCCACAATCACCGTGTAAAGTCCATTGTTCCCGCTGACAAGCTCTTGGTGTATAGCGTAGAACGAGGATGGAAACCATTGTGTGAATTCTTGGGGTGCGAAGTTCCCACGATTCCCTTTCCACAGGAAAATGTCAGAGCCGAAATATCTTACAGGCCGCTGGAAATGAGTAGATCAGGCCGACAGATGAAACAAGAAATTCAGAGAGGTTTTATGGTGATCTGTTTTGTTCTGGTGATCATGGTAGCTTCGTACTTGGTCACTTTTTAAGATTGGTAAAACACTAACACTAACTTTTATGGCATTTATCGTCAGTGTGCAATCTTTGTTCTTCGGGAGTGGGGTGCGGGGATGGTAAAGCACCTCGCAATTCTATGTAAGTTGCATTACTATCTTTCGACGGGATTAGCTGTGCTGTGCAGGGCTTTTCACTCGAACAAAGAGCGATTTTGAGTGGTTAACCCAGGCCCAGTTGTAAACTCTCCGAGCTTGTTGGTTAGAATTCATTGCGATCGTTCAACTGAATAACGAGGCCGTAATAAAACTCTAGTTTGTCAAAATTGACTAAATCGGGGAGAAAATTTATTTTAGTGTTCTCTGGCTTTGAAAGGCAACGAATTAAAATTAATTTCATATTGGTTTCTACCGCAAATATGTAATATTTTCTAATTATGTCTTCATTAATAGAAAGGCTTACCTAAGCAAATTAGTCAGTAATGTTATATTATTAAATGTGGTTTCGGCAATTCTTTGGTGATAAAAATGGAATTAAAATACTTTACGACCACAATAAGTTGTAACGTTTCTATGTTTTGAACGAAAGAAGCCTTTGTTTTCAACTGTATAGCGTATTACCTTGTGCTGAATAGAGGTTGTAATCTTTCATTGACTGAGACTTTCACAATCGCTTAACGCTGTTCCTCTGATCTGTTTCTCCAAACTTCAGTAACTTGTTTTATGGTGACCAGGATTCAGTTATTTGTTTGCTTTCACAACGGTTAAGAATAGTTTTGTCAAATCGCGAAAACCAATGGATTTTGATACACAAGTGTAATATTAACAAAAGTTATTTCAATTTGATTCGAACAATTGTCATTTGTTCTACAGCTCATTTCGAAATCGTGCTACTTCTGATATTGTAGAAGTTACAAAATTCTTCTTAACATGGAGCTTTTATATGTACACATTTGAAAAGTGTATCAAACTGAACGTTTCTAACGAGATTCTAGAAAAATACTTGCATTAAACCTCAGGGATTTATTTAGGTGCGGTGGTCAGATTGAATTTCTTAAGTAATATTCATTTAAGAACGCTAAAAGACATTTATTTTTTATTTTTTACATCAAAAACCGTTATCCGTGAAGTGGAAATAGCTCGGGTTCTTTTAGTCAGACTTCTTAAAACCGATTTCAATCACTTTTTCGTGTTTTTTGTTATAGACCGTGCAATAAATATGTCACCCTTTGTTGACTATACACGTAATATGCATTTTTGTGTTCTAATGAACTATTTTAACTGTAAAACGTTACATTATTCAAATAAAATAAATGTTAAGACAATGATTACTTGAAAAATGAAATCCTGACTTGAACAGGAATAAATTTGAACAACTCGCTTTCGATATCAGTCAAAATGGACGGTCGATAGGAGTAGCGTCAATGTTTTCATTGTTTATAGACCTACTAAAATTTAAAAAAAGTAAATAAATCTCGTAAGGTAAAAGTAACAAATCTTAATTCGCAACTAAGATTTTTTTCTGGATTTTAAAATAAAGTGCACTTTTAAAATGTCTACGATAATGACTGTTCTTCGCAATTAAAAATGATAATTGACTTATTTACTCGTTCCTTCTGTGAAAACTTGACAGTGAATATAACAGCATTGAACCAAACTGATAGCCTACTACAGTCAAATCTTCGTTGATGAAAATTTCCATTTGCTTCCAAAGTTGCGCTTCATGAAAAAAATTAAAAATTTCTATAACCAATATAAAAGGTGTCAAACCCAAAAGATTGTTGTTATCGAGTGAAAATCTGTCACTGTTTCTTTTTTCAGTACGTTTTCCCACAACAAATGAAAAACTATGTGCAATTTTAGGAATACGCCAATTTCAAGGCATGTTAAGTCTACACTTACCTTCAACTTCGTCGATCGTTCTTCACTGAGGAAAAGCGACTCCCTTTTTAATACCTTCGTGGTTTTAATCATTCATATTGTGTCCATGCAAGCAGATGTAAAGGCGAGATATCATTTTGTTATTTCTCTACCGCTGACAATGTTTTGATGAGCCGCTGCCGTTGTTTTGACGATTTCAAAACCGTGGAAAGCTGATAGAAATCCTCTCGATAACACTGAGTGGTTTTCCCTCTTCCCTGATTGAACGGCAAAATTTAGTCCGTTAATAAGTTTAATTATCAAGATTTCAATACGAAACACTTTTAATGCATGTACAGCGGATTCATATTCTTATTTTTAAGGTGAAATTATCGACGTGTGTGAATTAAATAAGACATTTCATTTGAAATTTGCGAAAATTCCGTCGCGAAAGTCGAGGCTTTTTTTGCAAGTTTTTCCCTTTATCGAAAAATGTTTCGTTCAGATGCAACACTTTCGCTTTGTGTCGTTTTTTACTTCAACTATATTGCTTGATGTTTGCCTCATGAATTTTGTTTAAATAGCGTTGTCTGACTGATAACAATATTACTTACTTCACAGTTTAAACATGTATGGTAGAAATTGGATTTGTTTTTAAAATAACTATTCGTTGATATGTTATTGTTTTCATCAAGGTATATGCAGTCTGTTTATTAACTGAAGGAAAACATATTTTATGGTCGCCGTGAAGAATGCCCTCAGTTTTTTCATTGTATGATGTTTGCATTATTTAACTTGACGTCAGTAAGCTATTTAAGGCAGCTGGAGTAATTTTAAATAACAATAATTTACATAGTTTACTTTATTCCGGTGGGACATCACTTAAACGTATGCTTTACGAGGATTTTAGCCTGTCTTATTTCAAGTTAAGGTTACGAATTCGTCTGCTTTTAAAATCGATTTTTGGTTTATGAGTGATATGAGGTGCCTCTGTATAGTTAACAAATTGACGTCAGTTTTTTATACGTCTGTTTTTCTTATTGATGATAAATTGCGTCATAACATTGTCAAAGTGACTGTGGAACCACGAGCCGTAAGCGAGTGGTTCCGAAGTAAACTTTGACAATGGTATGACGAAATTTGTCATTAATAAGAGGACAGAAGCGTAAAAAACTGACGTGAATTTGTTTTTTGCAATAACAAGACCCCAAGTCAAATGCCGGGAATAAATGAGGGGAAAAGACGCCGTAAACTTGCCGTAAACAAAGATAAGTGAATTTTATTCAAAATGACGCGAACATTGTCAATAGCTTTTCTCGCGTTTTGATTGGCTAATTGAAAAGTCCATAAAATCTCATTGGTTAAAGAGTTGACAGTTTGACAGCTGAAAGTTGAACTTGAAAGCTTGCATAAATTAAAATTTTATCCGTCTGTACTCTTATTGATGATAAAAATGAGCCCATCAGCGCGCGAGATATTAGACAGTTATTGTAAAGTAGCACATCGATTTTCCATTTTATTAAATCCATTTTGAAATCACTGGTTATCCTTGCAATCTGATTGGCTCTCAATGGTGCGATTTATTCACGAATCGCACTA